GTCGTAGCAGCAGCAGCAGGAGTAGTAGTAGTCGTCGTAGCAGCAGCAGCAGCAGGAGGAGGAGTAGTAGTAGTAGCAGCAGCAGTAGAAGAAGAAGTAGTAGTAGCAGTAGTAGTACAAGCAGTCGTCGTCGTAGTAGTAGTAGTAGTAGTAGTAGGAGGAGGAGGAGGAGGGGGGGGGAGGAGGAGGAGCAGTAGCAGCGGTAGCGGTAGCCGTACCACTACAGTATAGTACGAGCAGTACATACGTCCCACACCATAAACAAGTCACAACTACTAAAAATGCAATCGCAATTTGAGATGCTACGCATTTCTGCGACAAACATCTCTTAGAAATACAATCGGAGAGGTCCAATAGCAGGGTATGTCAGGAGCAATCTTTGGTGGACCCGCATTGCAAGGTACTTGGTGCAGTTGTCATGAATGACCGCTACAAAGCGAAGTGAGAACGTACGGCTGTGCATTCATGTGGTTCCGCCGTTTCGGTGCCCTTGCCACCAGCATAAAACGCGGGGCAAGAGTTCGGAAAAGTCTTTGCTCACGTTCGAAGCCTGGTACTGTTTCTCGTTCTCGTGGTCTCTCGTAAGGTGTAGCTTGCCCCAAACACTGGGACTTTCAGAGATCGCGGCAGCACAGCCGCAGGCCGCGCCGCCAGTTTGATTAACAAATAGATCTTGCTGTGATGAACTAGCTTTGGCACCCAAACCCGGACCCCGGCGGCCACTGCATCACTAATCTCCTGATCCGAACCATCACAACGTAGGACATGGGGTTGCTATGCGGCTTCGCTGTGTTTCCGGTCATAGAAAAGAGCCATCACAAGAAGCTCACTGGCATGAACACGACGAGCACTAAACGGAATACAATGCCAGTGATGTCTCATAAGATGCCCTGGAACAACATTGCCAGCTTCGACCTCGCACAACTCCAGTCTAGAACACGAGAGATCTGAGGCCCCTGCTTGAGTCTCAATGTGTCAGGAACACTAATGCGTGCAGTGGGATCGAAGGTCACGGTCTTGGAAACAACCTGCGAATTGCTCAGCTGCGCATATCCTAAGACAAATGCTGAAAGTCGCCGTGCCTCTATCGCGTCGTCGCTGGCCGTGGGAAGCAAGCTCTTCCACTCTACCTTCAGTGCTGTTTGGGTAGGTGGAGAAGCAATTCCACTACAGAACGGTTCCCGAAAGTGTGTAGAGCAGAGAAGCAACACCGAACATCATCTCATCTCATCTCATCTCATCTCATCTCATCTCATCTCATCTCATCTCATCTCATCTCATCCATCCACACATGCATCAATGCATATAATCCATGCATCCATGAACTCATCCACCGGCAAACCCCCCCACCCACCCACCCATCCACACCTTCATCCAGGCGGCGATTCAGTCACCCATCATACACCCTTCCAAAAGCCCTTCTGCAATCCTTCTTTCAACCTGCCCTTTACGAATCTTTCTTTTAATCCTTCTGTAAGACCCCCAAAATCCTTCTTTACACCCTCATGCAAAATATATACTCCTTTGTAAGCCATTCTATAAGCGCCTCCACAAAGTCATTCTGCACGTTACGTACACCCAAACTGTAGAAGGGCTTCATTTCAAACTTCGATACCAAAGTCAAAGCCGCACCACTCGCGCCGGCCCCGGAGATGCCAGCCGCACCGAGATGGATCTCATTTCGAGGCATGAGTCATGAGGCCGGTGTCTTTGAATCGGAGGATGCGGACTCACCGGTAGCACCGAGACGGTTGTCAATTCGGAACACGAACCGTCAGGGCATGACACGTGCAGCGGCCGTGCACTCGATCGAACACGCCTTGAGGCTAAGTCGGGCCACAGCCGACCTCACGAAAACCTGCGGGTTTTTACCCCTCAAAGACCTCACGTCAGCAACCACACGACTCAACCTAACCTCACATCATCACATCAATCATCTCTTCGATTTGCCTTCGGGAAACAAGCTACGATTTGCTCTGAGAACGATGCCTTCGGCGCGGGAGCGCACTTTATCAGGAACGAGCGAGCTGTGCCCTCTTCCGGCAACCAATGCTTTTCAGCCTGCCACGAATTGTGCTCACTGACACCTGAGAATGCGACTCCACAGGCCTCTGATGGTGTGCCGAGGGTACTGATGATCTTCCGCAACTGATCGACGTGATCCTTGCCTATCCCGGAGGCAACGAGGGCGAGTTGAGGCTGCATCGAAGCGTGACTTCGAAACTCTGACCAACTCTGAGGCTCTGCTGCGCACCTACAAGCTTCTGGTAAAGCCAAAACAACATCAGATTATCAGGCACAGTCTGCAGATCGAAATAGATCGAACGACAACATCACAGACGGGATGTCGATCGAGGTGTCTGCAAACAGATGGACAGAGACTAAAACAAAGTCACACACGCGCACACAAGTATCTAAACCGGAGCATGTCGGAACCGTGAATTGGAGATGCAAAGTAAGGCTCACACCCATTGGCAGGATCGTTCTTGCACTGTTGCTTAGATGTGGAGAGGTGGCACACTTTTCGAAGCTTGCAGACATCAGGCCTAACTGCAGTCACCGTATTCGACGGTATTTGCAATACTTTTGCTCGTCCTGAATCGATGTTGCATTTTTTTTCGGATGCATCGGTTGATAGGGCGACGAGACTACCAGGCTAGGCGGTTCTCATGGACGGCAGTAACGGGCTGAAATGCAGGTTCCAATGGTCGTGCACGGACAAGGCAGGTACCACAGCTGCATCTCAGCTGCAAACAGCAAAGAACCTTTCTGAAGATGCAACTTGGCAGTCTCCCTTCGAAACTGGCTCATACTGGCTCGCACTTCAAAGGCAGTCTTTACACTCCAGAAGCAGGTGGGAGCAGAGAAGACACGTCCATGTTTCCAGGTGTGGAAGATTCGCAAGAGCGCGCGCAGGTGATGCTTTGAGGCTCTCGTAAATTTGTAATTAGCAGGGACCAGCTGGGTATCTGAGTGTCAAGCGTCATGAGCATGAACGGCGACGAGTCTTGTGCTCGCGAGGATCATACACAAACCCCATGAAGTAAGCAGAAAAGTAGACACAGGCTAGTCAGCTGCCTGCAAATAAGGGTTTACGCGAGATCAGCTCGAAAAGGATGCAGCCCACAGCCTCATCACAGAAGCAACAGATGGCCAACTCCCTAAAGAACCATTGGCCCTGCAAGGGCCCGAACCCAAACATCAATGGCGACAGTATAGTCAGAGGACACCAACATGACCTGTTCAGAGTCGCTGAAGGGTCTTGCCGCAGCTAGCGGCTAGCGCGAAGCGATCTGTCAAATCATCGTGCGATGCCGCGAAAGTTGACATGCCTCGGGGGCGCGGTACCAGCGGGTAACCACGTAGTCCGTGCGCCCCATGGAGTCCTCCGCATCCGTAGCCAAAACCTCCAAGGGATCGAAAGCGCAGGAACCGCGCTTTACGGCAGGTCGGATCGCGGGAGGCCAGGCTCCCGGCGCGTGCCAGGCCGAAGTCACAAATCTTCAGGTCGCAGTTCTTGTTGACCTCGACGGCAGGCCCTCAACCTGAAAAAAGGCCCTGCCCTGTCAAACGAACAAAGCAATCATAGGCAGGAGCATCTACCTGGAACGGTTGTGAAAGGGGCACAGGCTGAGCCATTTGCCAGAAGATTCGAGGGCTTGATATCGCGATGCCTGAGTCCAGGCATCGCAAAAAAATTGCCCTGCACTGAGCCCGCATGCCATGGCGTGCCAGCGTGTTCGTTTTTCACGCGCGTGCTTGGTTCTTCTTCAGCATGCGAAACAGAAAGGGTGTCCAAGGCTCTCTTTTTGAAGTCCCCACATCATGCTCTGCCTCTCTGTGCCTCTGGAAACTGCTGAGACTGCCACACGATGTGGGCGCTGTGCAGGTATGCCAGGCCTGGGACAAAAGCGTCAGGGATTGATCTCTGTTCCCTCTGAGCAAACCAAGGGGAGAGGTCTGTGGAAGCAGAACTCCGAAGACTGTGGCTCCGGCCACGGAGTATTTGATGCAGAAAATACTGGTGGTGCTCCTGCGACAGGGGAAGAGCTGCACCAAAAAAAAGAATGACGGAAGCTTGCATCCTCTGTCAAAGGCTGCTTGGAATAGATCACTCTGTGGAGATCCTCAGCTGCTCAAGCCCAGTTTCTCGCACCCTGACTCGAATGTGACCTATGGCGATTTGTAGCTGCAGTGCCCCAGTGCAGCTTGCATGCTGTCTCCATGAGGTCTGTGACGATATAGATATCCTTCGCAGCTGGATCTGACCCCTTTCCGCCAGCCTTCTGTGTAACACAGGCCTCGAAGTCCGGACAGGGTGGAGGATACATGTCCATGATTCGGATGATATTGTCCTTAGAGCATTGAGATCGACGACAGGGTGGGTCCTGCAAAGCGACAAGCTTCCCGCGTGATCCAGCTGCCTCAGAAGCTTCACCTGTGAAGCGAAGGCATATCGCCAAGGCCAAACATAACTCAGAGATAGTAGAAGTCCTGAATCCCGCCTCACGCAGTATTCTTTTGCCATCAACCTTACAAAGCGCTTGGCATCGAGACGAGTGTCACACCGTCGTCCTTTGCGCATACTCGGGATGGAGCCAAGTCATCGAATGCATTCGTGACTTTCTTAACCTTGAAGAGACGGAACGAAAGGTGTGGTGTCTGGATAGGTTCTTGTTCCCCGGCTGCCCTGGCTACGTACTCTCCCCGACGACTTGAGGTGTCAGCAGCAAACTTCTCGCCCGTTTTCTTGTCCTGTCTCTAGAGACGGACAACCTCTTTCGGTTCCACAAACCCTGCTGTTCCTGGAACGAGGCCACACAGCCATACGCCCCAGAACCTTAGCAGGGGTCAAAGGGACGGACAAACTGGTGCCACAGAGCCATGGATTGAGACCGAGTGTGAGGCCGACCTTCTTTACAAGCTCAACGTGGTCTGGAACACGAAAGGTGGACTTGCCATCCTCTGACCATGTTGAAATGCACAGTTTACAAACAAGGAACTACAGACCGACGGCCACCGGGCAGCTCCCTTTCCGTGTCTGGCAGCTTGAGTGTTGCGGTCCGAAGCTCTTCTAAAACCTGCTGCCAGTCTACCGTGGACAGCTTCGTCAGATGCTCTTGCAGCCTTGTCCTCCATTCTACTACACCAGAGGCATCGTCTGAAGACCATGGCAGGTAGCCCCTTCCAAATACAGGTCCGTTGCGCTTGTCGTGCTGCATGAAGCGGTAGCCCTCGAAATACAGAAAATCCGAAGGCAATCCGGGAATGTCGGTGGAAGTAGCGGGTGACAGACGCCGGTGCCATCCATGAAAAGATGCCAAAGAAACTGCCATATACACACAGCAGGCATACTCGGACAGAGATGCATCCCCTGAAATTCTTACAAGAACATATGGCTTTCCGTGCAAAGACAGCCTTTGGACCATCTTGAGTTCCTCATCTTTTGCGGAGCCTTCGCGTGAAGTCTCTCTCCGCAACAGCTTAATTTCCTGCATGGCCTCCTTGAGCCGTTTCAGTTTCGGTCGCAACTCCTCGAAGTCGTTGGGACATGTCTCGCTTCCGCTCGTGAGTGCAACGACATCCAAGAGATAGGCGAAATGCCGCTGCACCAAACTGCTCTGTAAGTCAATAAGTTGCGATTTCTTCAGCTGAACGAGTGAATGCAGCGTCGTGAGTGGCATTTCGTGCAACCTGGCCAATAGACGTTGCCTCAAGGCATCTCCAGCAAGTGCACAGGAGAAACTGGCAAGCAACACTCTTCCGACCGCAGGGCACGAGAAATCGCCGAGATCCTGAACGTCAATTCCCAGTGCACCCAACGAAGTCAGAGCCTCCGACAATGAAAAACCCTGGCCCAGGCTCCCCAACAAAAAGGCGTAAGGCTTAGGCTGGGCCTTCGCCTTCTCCGTCATCGACTTCAGTAAGTCCACGGAGTCCGACTCCATGCGCTGAAGGCACGCAGCGCTACTTCGCAGGTGCATGAAGAGCTTGTTGCGGCTCTCGAACTTCAAGTTGCACCAGCGACAAAGGAACGTGTCGTCACTCTGGGCAGAGTTTGCTTCCGCAGCGTCCCGGTAGCCGTCTGGTACAAAACCATCACAGATAAGCTCATCTTTCTCACAGCATACTTCAGCCCTGCCCAGCGCCGCTTGAGCGAAAGCTGCATTTTGGGTTTCATCCTCGAAAAACTTGAAAGGGTCGATGTCTTCTGCTGCACCTGTGGGCAAGTGGACCTCAAACATCTCTGAGTCTGTCCCTGGCAAAGATGGGCCCGATCGATTCATAGGCACACGTATTGTCTCTGACACATGCATTGCTGCAGATGCTGATCTAATACAGAGAACGATACCCACCAACTTGAAATCCGAAACCCCAAAATCCACGAGGCCATCGCGCAGTCTGCAAAGTTCATGTGGTGAAAAATACGAAAAACTTGCCTTGGCTCCCAACAAGGTGCCGTCACTTTGCCCGTCTGTTGGTGTAGCATTCCTCACACTCTCCAGGTTCTCCTTGGAATCCACCAAGCAGCAAGCGACAAAAAGCTTCCGCCCAGGTGACCGCGCTGCATGACGAAATCTCTGAACACAGCGATGAAGGTAGTCATGGTCCTGAGGAGGCTCGAAGACACGTAGCCCTTCGCAGCAAGAGGAGTTCCGGCTGCAGGGTCGTCCATTCCTACCCATTCGAACCCCTGAAAATCTCCCTTGACGGAGATATCCCAGAAATAGGCGAAAGCCAACACCCTGGGACTTGCAGCTCACTCCTCTCACAAACCCTCCTGTCGCTTCCGCGAGGGATCGTGGTGGAGGAAGGTGAAGTTGGGCCAGCGGCCAGGCAACCGCAGCTCCGAGTACCGCGCGTGGCCGGCGCCCGCACCTGGGCCCCCGCCAAGGCCAAGGAGGCCAAGGAAAACGAAGAAAAAGGCTCTCTGCTCTGTTTTTGTTTTCCTTTTTGTTTTGTGTGGCCTTCTCTTCGCCTTCTTTATTTTTGCTCTTCCCTCCCTATACCGAAAGAGACTCAGGGGCAGCACCTCGCTTGCCGAAGGGCCGGTACTCGCGAGGATCCAAGAAGCTGCGAAAGTCATCCTGCAGGCAATCCCTCACCATAGCAGGAGAGGAGAAGACCCAGTCAAAGGGCATTGCAGACCTAGGCTGGCAACATGGCGGCTACGCCGATCCAGGCTGGGGAAGGGTCAGGCGGGGCCAAACAGATCTGCCAAGCTGCTTTCTCCAGCCATTGTGCTGCAACCACATTGCAGTCAAGCAGTTGGAGCCCAGTGAGATGACTCGCACGAAGGGCGGCGGAGGCTCGCAAGAGGAGGGATGCCTGGCAGTCATAACTTGAAAAGCGCCTGGAATGCTTATCACCTAGGACCTAGCCTGCAATTGGGGCATGGTTTGGATACGGCTCGGGTCTGGGGGATGAGATGGCTCGGCAAACTACTGCCATTAACTATGAAGCACTACACGGCTCCGGTCTGTGGACCGACGAATTGTTGCCAAGCCAATACGGCTCTAATTATGTGCGATTTACTGATTACTTGATTACTACTGGCTACGGCATGTTGCAAGTACATGTTCTGAAATTAGAACCGTGCAGCTTTTAATAAATAACTTGCGAATATTCATAACTCAACCTTGGTAACGAATACGAACACTTGCTAAGGATTCTACAAACTAAGATTGCTAATCGTGCTACTTCCCGTATACACGTATTATGCTTATTACCAAGCAGTAAAATTTCTCAACTCCGTACTACTACAAGTTTCACTTCAGAACGGATCCTTATCCTAATCTTGATCGGAATCCTGATCCCCTCCTACTCCTAAAACGATGTCCTAGATCTACTACGAATGCTAATACTAATTGCTAACGCCAAGGCTCATGCTAATACTCTCTATGCTTCTACCATCTGCTACCACTAATGACTCGACTAACTGCAATGTGACTGACAATTACTGCTTACTACGAGTAGTTGAAAGAGAGTGCTAGAGTAGTAGTATCATTACAATTACACATTATGATTTGAACCATATTAAAAATGACTGCGAGAAGCATGTTTATAGTCATGTATCGTTAAAGCTGAAACATACTGTGTAACATCATGTATTATCATGTAACTGTAATTGAAAGATACATATTATAGCATAAGTTTACGGTTCCCAGTTGGAGCGGCACCGGGGGCAGGGGGAATGGCGGGGAGGGTGGAGGGGGGGGGGTGGGGGTGCAGCCCAAACCAAAGAGTCGTCCAAGTCCAGAGTCCTCAAAGTCTCTAGTCTGGCCGCTCGATTTCACTGGGTCTCGAAGACCCTAACCAGGCCGTGACTCTCGTCTAGAATCTGGATATGACCGTGTCCACCAGACGCCCTGCCGCTGCTTACCCCGTCTATCAGCCAATGTTGGTATTCCACAGTCATTTCAAGTCATAACACAATAGAGTCAGAATGCTCCTCAGCAGAACCATAATTGACGAGCGTCGGTGGGTCAGAAACCGAAGTGGGATCCGTTTGCACTGGCGCCATGGCATCCAGCAAGAGGTGCTTCAACGACGTCTTGCTTTGGGCAAGGTTTGAGAGCTGAGTGATTGGACACAAACGACTTTCTGGCGAGCTTGTCGCTCCAGCTGGCAAGCATGGCAAGTTCGGGTCCTGCTTGCCATCCACTACAACCTCTTGCAGTTTGTAGATCGGCATGCTTCCTGGCAGGGTATCCACAGTCGGAGCTCCGTCTAGCAGCGATGTGTCTCGTCGATGCTTAGCGAGAGGCTCTAGACATTTCGAAGCAATTTGCGCGCTCGCCACATCCTTTGGATTGCGGTCAAGCTCAAGACCACTCAGTCAACACAATAGTCAATAATGGATGCTTAACTCCACACAAAAGCTCAGAAGCAGACACCGCTGGATGAGGAGAGCACGGCGAACGAGTGCTGGCAATGATCTCAAACTTTACAAGCTTACGCTGCGTGGCACTGGCTCTTTGTTGGCATGCAGGAACATCAAGAGGGGCCCCTGAAAAAAGACTGGCTTGGGTGAATGCAACTGCTGGCTCTTGCCGCTCATGGAAAGCTGAAGCCGGCGGAGTACAGCGCAATGCTGCGATCTGTGTTCCATGCCGGTGCAGGCCCAAACTCGATTGGGGCTTCTTCTCCAATGAAGCCATCTTTTGCACATTGGCTGCACATGTCCACCAGGGTCGCTACATCCAAGTGTCAGTCTTGTGGGACTTCATGCCAGTTGAAAACTCCAATTCTGCAACAGGTTTGTGTTCAGAGGCCAGACGACGGTTTTCATCGTCTCTAGTTTGGTCGCGGAGATGCCGATAATGAGAGCGCTCAGACCTGCTAGCCAAGCACCTGATCAAAGTAAATCAAGGCGCAGATGACATGTGCTTCAAGACAAAAACTGTAGCAGTCGAAGCAATTCTGCCGAGGTGCCCTTTTGCAGAAGTAACGTTTGTGATGCCTTGGATGCCTTCTTGTCGCATTCCTGGCAGCAGTTCGGGGCTTGCTGACGGTACATTGGTTTGATTTTGGTCGTGCTGTCGCCTGGCCTGCAAGTCAGCAACTGGCTCGGGACTTGTGCTCTCTTCACGGGCAAGGCGTTGAAGGTGATGTTGCATCTTGCGGCCGAATGGCATCGCACTAGCAGACTGGCATGCATGATGTAGTTTGGCACGACTCGGCGAGCCTCTTTCTGCACATCACCTCTGCTTCTTTCCGGCGTGGCTCTGCTAAGGCGGGACATGGCGTCCTCGTGGTCGGCTGGAAAAGGAAGCTTAAACCAGAAGGCGCCGACCTGCCTCGACACCCACGGCATCGCAAGCCTTCTGTCGCACAAGCGCGAGGCTCTGCAGCGCCTGAAAGCCAGAAGCCGATTGTCGGATTGCATCTAGCCGCCTGTGGCCTCTTGCTGCAATCGTAAGGCTTCTGGATCTTGGCATGAAGAGCACTCCTTCGAAACCGCATGTAACAACCGGACTCCCTGGCTGTGCTGTGGCACGTGAACTACCGTCAGGAAAGGCGTTAGCAGTTCAGATGTCCAGCAACTGCAGGTCAGAGCCGTCTTGGCCCCACTCTGGGTCTTTGCCACCTTCGAGATCATAAAAAAACCCCGACCACAGAGTCCAGACAGCAGGTCGCCCGTGGCCTGCTCGCTTCCACTTTGCTCGCAAAGCCTCCTCGGCCTCTGCCAATCGTCCCACCTGCAAGGGCAAGAAGCCCTCTCCGCCTGAGACTACGGCTTCCCCGTCTCTCTCAGAGCCTGTGCGGCAGCGAAGGCCCATTGACCGCATAAGCGGGCCCATTCCAAGCGAGTCGCCGACTGACCATCCTCGGCCCGGATCTCGCAAACAATTCCAAGCCCGGACATTTAAAATGGAAGTCAGCATTTAGAAGGACTGGGTTGAGCGATGGTGATGCTTCCGCATGCTACCTTCCAGCTAGTAGCAGCATCGGCGGGATGATCCGGGCGAATGTACGCGTACTGTTGGCATAGGACGGTGAGTTAGTTCCTCGCGCCGGACTGGGGGAGAAGCCGCAACAAAATCTTCCTGCGTATCCTTCCGTGCGGCGGAATCGATGCGTTGCCAGCTTCTCTGGCAGACGGGCCGGATGGATGCATGCTTGACGTATGCATGGACACACCTTCCTTGTAAGTTACAAAGTGCTAGCTACATAGAGGTTGAAAATCACATCGCAGCTTGCTTGCGGGGATATTGCTGAGAACCTGTTGACACAAAGCAAACGCCCAGCAAGCAAGGGGGCGGACGTCCGCAGCATCAACAAGGTGTCGCGATTCATTCAACACCTCCTGCAAGGCCACAAGGCTGGAATGAGTCTTCCCTGCTCCCACGATGGCTTTGGCAACGGCACCTCCGCCGCTGCAGAGTCTCCCAGAGACAGGTGGAGCGAGCACACTGCCACCTGCTGAAAGTCCAGTTCAAACACTCGTAGACATCTTGTTCCACTGGCCCCAACATCGGAGCCGCACATGCCAAAGAACGCTTGGAGCATGCCGGCCCCAAAGCCCTGCACTACGGGTGTGCCCATCACATACTGTTACAAACCAGCCCTCCCCCTGTCCCTGCATTAGGAAGTTGTTTACTACCAATGGCTCGAGAAGCAGACGCCCTCTCCGATAAGTTTTCAGGTGCTTGAAGACGAACACCACCTTGACTGGAACACAAACCATGTAGTCATCGCTTTTTGTTTAAAACGCTTATCAGACCAATATGTGCCATCGCAGGCACGACGATCTTGCCCCAAGCAGACAAGACAAACTACACAACCTGCCAGCTAGACATTGTAAACATCCTAAATGGAAGTGACCCTCCGAAGCTGAATCTACATGCTGTGAGTCCTGCCTGTGCCTGGAGCTGTCTCCTCAGAAGTCTTTCGGAAGCCTCGGCAACAACTGGGATGAGAGTGCAAGAGATCCGCTTCGTTCAAGATGCCAATCGTGAGAGACAGGCGACTGCCGGCTTCTGCGAACCTCAGCAAGTCAGTGCTCACAAAACGTGATACCGAAAGGAGCAAAGCACCAGGTGCGCTACTCGCGACCTCAACGCGATCATCTTTCGTTCCTTTCAGCTGCCTGTCCAAAACCACAAGAACGACAAATTTTACTATTTAACCCGCTGATCCATCCAGCGCAGATGCAGGGCTCGCCATGATGCAGTGAGGTTCCCGCTGACCGTGCGCAAGCTTCAGCTTTTCAATCGCACGCTCCAAGGTTGGCATGGCCTTTCCAAGGCTCGGGAGGAGTTTCTACAAGATCATCCGCGAGGCCTCTCGGGCGACGACCAAGTCAGCAGCATTCGGATCTCCAGCATCGAAGTCCTTGTACCGTACTCACTTGCTCCACTTAGTGCCACACGGCTTCCAAGTCGCCTGAGCCAGGCGGAGACCAAACTCAAGCAGGGCCGTCCCTTCCAAGGCAGGCGAGTTGGACCTGCCGCTGTCAGAAAAGCAACCTGGGACGAAGGAAGCGGCTGGACCTCTGCAAGGCTTGAGCTGCTCGTCGGAAGAAGGAGAGCGCCTCCTGCTGCGACCAGCGAAGGCTAAAAGCTGCAATCCGCATCGTAGAAGGCCTTCTCACCGGCAGCTTCGGAAGCATGTCCCAACGACAGGTACAGCAGGCCTTCTCGCCTTTCAGGCACCATATTATGACTTTGGTGGATATTGAAACATGCTTGTCCGATGCCTGCTACACTCGGGCTCCGTGAAAGGAACCTGCAGCACTTGCTTTCTCATGCTGTCGAACCACTTCCCAGCATGCACAGCACATCTTTTGCCTGAGAGACACCCACTTCAAGCAGATCCGCAGCTCTGCGGCCACATCGAAGGGAACCCTCCTTGAGAAACCAAACTTGAGCCCGATCTGTCTAGTGCACAACTGCACAGACACTGTGATCATCCAGCCCTACAGGCTCTGACCTCTTTCCAATCTCAGGTCACTGCGAAGTCTCTCCTGGCCGCCAGACACTCTGCCAACACCTCGAGGCAAAAAAAATAGCGAAGGCAGGCTGCAACAGTTCCTGCCAGGCCAGTGCCTCCAGCGCATCAAACGCCAGCGCACGTGCAGCTCGTGTCGAAAGAGAGTCTATTGGACCCCCGTTCTCCTGCTAAGCAAAAGCGGGCCCCATCACTGGCTGTTTCATGCTTTCGGTCTTTCGGTCTGAAGAAGCACAGAGCACTGGCGGCATCCTGTCATGATCCCTCACGAAACTCGAATCAAAGCATGTCCAAGCTGGGGGTCTCCTATTCAGCCAGAAACCTGCAAGAAACAGTTTGGGAAGCGGAAGCACCCCCAACAGTTCGCTGAACACAGGCAGAGCATGCTTGCGACTCTCATTCGAAGTTCACCGACCGGATGTATGAGGCTGTGTGGTCTGTCCTTCCGGTCGATGTACTCGACTGCTCGCCTCAACAAGCACTCCGCCTGGCACGAGACTTTCCAAAAACGCAGCACGCACTGCAGAGCCAATTGCCTCCTTTGTTTGACCTCGCTTGAAGAGTTCGGCTCCCTTCTGCACCCAAACGGACGGCGAATCAACCTGTCCACATTCAAGCGACTGAACGAAAACGACGTGTATGTCTGGCTAAGTAAACCGGGGTGCAATCACAACTGTGACGCCACTTCAGGAGCAAACCACGAATGACGAAAGGATGTATATCAATCTGACTGTACCTTGGAGAAGGAGCTATTCTCGACTTCGCATCGTCACGATCCCACGCCAACGACACTGGCTTGCTGTGCAAGCACAGGCAAGCCTAGCAAGGACTGCGGACAAGCACACATAGCATCTAACTTGGCAGTGTGTGCATGTCTCTTGGACCACGGTTCTTGTGCGTCACAATATGAATCGCCGATGTGTTCTGAAATCAACTGGCAGACTTGGACCTGCGTCTGCCATCCGGGCCGCAAGCTCTTTGCCAATTCTGCGGCTTGCTCAGCTGCGTCCTCCATGCACTTTGTGCCCTTACGTGCACGTGGGTCGATTGTAAGCTCCTCATCCTTTCGCTTCTGCGCCCAAACCTGCGCATTGCGGAGATGCTGCCTCGGCGAACTGAACACGGTTTCGATCTCAACGAGGAGCACTGCCCAAGCGCGCCACTCGGCCAAGCCCCTCTGACTTCGCGCCAGGATGAGTGCTGCCTCAAGTAACACCTACTGCCGACCGAATTGACTCCCGGACACCCTGAAGTCTGACACAGAACCAACAGCCGTCTAAGAAGCAGTTAGGTTCCCCATGCTCACCCTTCGAAAACTGTGTGCCAGCTCTGTCCAACGGAGATGCACCATACTGCATTCCACTGCAAACAAACGCTAACTTCGCAGTTTGTTAATCAGCATTTATGTATTCGACATCTCGGTTCCCTGCATGAGGATTCTCTGGATCAATTTCCAACGCAGCGTTTGCAAAGTGAGTGGCGACCACCTCGGCCTGCGCCGTCATTCGCACTGGACCTGGGTCTGAAAGTACGGCTACATCAGGCCTGCTGTCTTTCGTCGACTCCGGCGAGCGCAACAACCTGGCTCAGACATTCTCCATGGATCCTAGCGATAGGGGCAAGGGCAAGCGGTCAGCTTCGCGTGGCATCCTGAGTCTGGTGATAGTTAGTTGATAACAAACGCATGCAGGTGATGCATCTCCTGATATGACAACGTGCAAGTAGAATCCTCAACTGAAAACTACAAGAAATCAGAAAAGGCCTCAAAGCTTCACAAGAGGCTTGGGTGGCTTTCAGAGCGAACCTCAAAGCTCTACTGCGCGACCGACATAAGACATCCGAACAGAAGCTCCGACTGAGTGGGATGGATGCACATCTGGGCAGGATGTCAATTGAACAAGCGTCCTGAATCATAGCAGATCTCCACGCGAAGCAAGCCAACAACATCACCCAAACCAGAATCCACTGAGGCTGGTAGTGTGACACCCAACTCACAAAAGTTCTACTCCCAGCACCAGGCCTCAGCACAGCACCCGACAAAGGTACCAGATGTTTCCGTGTTGCTCTAGATTTCGCGGGACGAGCTACAGGCCATTGGTGCTCTTCGTGCCGCATCGGACAAAAGGGATTATGGCATGAAAAAGCGGGGGCCTGCATGGCAAGGCAAGCTGCATTGAGACGGCATTGAAGCGCCAAGCGCCAAGCTTCCCTGGACTCCTGGCTGCTGCGAGCGCGACCGAGCACCCCGGACACTCCAACTCGAAGGCGCCTTGCAGCGGTTCCCCAGCAGCGCATCGGCTTTGCGATACATTCCCAGGGCCTACATGAGACGAGCGGCCATGTGACCCATGCCTCTTGCAAACTGCAGATGGACCTCGCAAAGATGCTGCTGCCGTCGCCGCGGCTCCTTGATGGCACTCTGCTAACTTCCACACTAATTAATCCGCCACCCTCGGCGCGGCCTGCTCTTGGCGTGCATGGTGGCTCAAAGCATTTGCCTACACGGCATTCGCTGAAGCTTCGCTTTGCAGCAAGATGCATGAGATGCCCAAGCCCAGCCTGCTCGCGCAAGCTACTGGCTTGCGAAAAATCGCCTTCTTCCCCGTCCAGCTCCGGTTCATCCTGGTGTTCAAAGGAATTGCTGATCGTTGTGCAGTGTGCAAAAAAACATGCAAAACACTCAAAAGCACCACAGGCATGGGGAGTGATGCAATTGTGCCCTTTCTCCCTCCACTGCCCCGGCCTGAAGAAAGTCCCATTTGCTTGATCGTAGCGACGCCATGCCTTCTGGCTGGTCTCCATCAATACAACTCTGTGTGAATTGGGTGCTGAACCTGGTATGTGTACGGATCCATGCCACGGCTAAGTCCGTTGAGGGTCTCCGGGTCTCCTCTCCCTTCCTGGCTTCCCCGAATCGCTATGCCGATGCTGCTGTGAGGGGGCAACGGTGGAAGCAGTTCCGCGCTTGGTGTTCCAATGTTCCAAGGCCTTCCAGACATTTCCCGACCCTGGATGCATGCGAAGCAGTTCTGATCCCTTTTCGCTGCTGGCGCATCCGGCTTGAATGCTTGTCGACCACAGCAGCTCTTCTTCACAACCTTTCGTTTCTAAGGACAGTGAATCTTACAGGACAGCAGACTGTGCAACTGCCCAAAACCTGTTGCAAAGATACACACATGGAGAGCTCTGGATTTCGAAAGGACTCTATGCCTGAACAAGTATTCAAGGCGCAAGCTCGCGGCTGCACTTCGAAAGATCGTGGCTGAGAGCACCACTTCACACGAGTCGAGAGCCGTCTCCGATTGGGGAAAAGTCCGTTTCGTCAAGGGCTCCTCGGCACAAGCGAAGTTCATCCAAGCTATAACAAGATGGCAGAAGTGATGGAGCAGGGCGGCACCTGTCTGAAGCAGACTGACTGCTTCAGAGATTCTAGCCTCAATCTGGGCACCAATGTGGCCTGCGCCAACCCTTGGCCAGAGCAAGAACTGGAGAAGCTTTACCGGCCTTTCACACCTCGACACGGGACTGAGTCGAGGGCCACTGTCGCATCTTGGATGTAGGAAACGGACCCTGGACTTCCCCATAGCTGTCTTTGTAGTACCACTGACCTTGTGGTGTACAACAACAACACACAAGGCAGCATCGAAAGGTAGTGCATCAGTAGTGCTAGTACTGATTCGATCGCGATGCAAAGTACTTCCAACTTGCTGCACTGCAACATCGAGATCACTTTTTTGTTGCTCGGTAGCGTACAGGCGAACTGGGTTTCATGATCTATCTGCAGTTTCAGTCGTCATCGGCAGCTGCCACATCAGCCGACAAGGTGTTCATGGCATCCTCCGCCTCGGGGCGCATCATCTCAACACCGACGTCATCGCCACCATCTCCATGAAGCTCCATTAGCTTGGTGATGTCGAACTTTGGCTTCTTCATGATCTTCACCTTTCGGATCAAGCAGTCCTTCAACGGGAAGATTCCCTGCGTCTGCTTCTCAATCTCTTTGCCAATGGATTCGGGTATGAGTTTCTTGACCAGCTCTCGCAGCTGGACTTTGCTTGCCTCTTGCGTCATGATCTCAACCATCTTGCGACGAATCTTGCGAATTTGTGCAGACTGCGCATAGCAGTTGGACTTGACCTGCTCTGGTCGGCGCTTCGTGAAAGCGATGCAGAACATGCGAACGATATAGTTGTCAGTAGTCTTGACATCCACGTGGGCCTCTATGAGCGTCTGCCACTTCTTGATTAGGGAGCAGATCTTGTCTCGGGTCAGCGTCATGCCATGAAAGTCTGTCAAACAACTTCGGCCTTGGACCTCCTCGATGCATAGACGCACCTTCTTGGAAGCCTGGTCCTCGTCGTTGTTCAAATCCGCCAAGTTCACCTCCAGCACACGGCCCTTAAGCTCTTCCGTGGCAATCTTCGTACCCTGTGTCCTGGACACCAACGTCTTGCCACAATTCCGCACGCTGAACATGCTCGGTGCCTCACACACACTAGCCGTTGCCGGCCACAACATGGACAGGAAGAAAAACACTCACTAGACTACGACAAGCCAAGACACCTTGATGTCGTACCATTCCTTCCTCAAGAAGGGATCACCTGCTTTCTTCTTGCCACCTTTCTTCCCCCCTTTGGTGAGGCGCTTGTTCTTGCCAACTGCCATGACGACCTACCAGCACTGTACGCACCTGCTTGATCCCTGTGCGAAGCGGGAAAATGTAGGGATATTGGGATATTAGGGATTCAGCTCAGAGGCTTCTGCCTGCCTAGAGTCTAGCACAGAGCATCAATTCAGCCGAGTGTTTGACGCTCCGGCGAAGCTGGCGGAGCTTGCGCCTGGTGCAATTTCCCAAGACATGTCAGCATTGTTGCCCCGCATCGAGGAACGCGAAAGACAGCGCAGACGTTAAAAGTAAGGTGCAAACGGATATGCCGCCTGGAGGTGGCGAACATTTAACGCAATACAGAAAGGCAGCCACGGCGTGCGTGCACTGACATATTTTGCGGACTATAGGGGCCAGACCATCGGCAGCAGCATCACCTCCACCGTAGCCACCATACCCGCCATAGCCCCAGTATCCACCCTGCATGGAGGATTCTAGATTTGGATCGTTCATTGTGACCATATGCTACTAGCTCTTGAGAGTTGCTCGGTGCAGCAGAGTGATTCCGTCTCATGACTACTTTTCCACCTGCTTCTCATCTGGGTCCAACTCCTGTCGGAACTGACGCAAAGACTGTGATGCAGTGCACCATCTGCCTTAGAGTTAGAGTTGAACACATCAGAAGTGGATCTCAGATCATCCGTTCTCCTCGGCGTCCTCGTCTTCCGAATCTGTTCCGGAATCGAACTGGTCGGGATTGTCCGGATCTACCTTCCAACAGAGAAGCTCAGCACTCAGGGTACCGGCTCACTCCGTGCACGACCTCCGGCCACATGTAGTGCAGTGTGTAGCCCAAGAAAGCGTTGACCTGTGCATCAAGCGTGGCAAATATCCAGTAGACTGCGCAACCCCCCGAACGGAGAGCCCAACCATTTGAAGCACTGCGCTAGCGCAAGCCAGAATGAAGGACAACCTGCCACGTTCGAGATCATTCCCCAAACCTATGTTGCTGTCAAGGCTGCGACCCGGGTGGTGGAACAGGATACCAGGACTCTTCGTTCAGATCCTCGAAAATACCCTGTCCACGGAGTGTGTTGTAATGGTCCTTCATGGTGACATGAAGTCGCCGGCCTCTGTCATGATTATCCAGAAAACTGTACCGGCAATGTTCAGCATCGCAGCCACCTCAGCTGTAGACACGCAAGCACGAATCTCTACGGGAATTTCTGCGAGAGGAAATGGCCGGCCACCAGTTCGCTGCCCATCTCAAAGTTCGAGTTGTCAGTGCAACCGTCCAATACAGACACAACCTTATTTCGCTCAAACATGTGAAGCGGCTTGAAGCTGCGAGCTGCTCAGGACACTGCGTTTGCACGATTGTCCCGATAATGATTCTCAGGGCTGCACCTTCACGGGAACACTCGAAGGTTCGATTGACCAGATTCTCTGAATACGGATCAGAAACCGTCAGCGACCACGGGTTGTTTCGAGATTAACCTTCTCCAGTGCATGTTCTGCCTGCGGAAACGCCTCTGACGATTACATCTTCTGCTCACCGTGCTGCATCCGAGCTGCTATAGCTGTAGAGGCACAGCTCGAAATAGGAATTGCATTTCAGAAGGTACCTGCTTCTGGATACTGATCTGCCAGTGCGACATGATGCACAATGTTTTGCTGGGCGGATGGCCATCTGCAAATTGGTGAGAGGCAGGAATTGCCGAGCATCAGATGACCATACCACTTGCCTCTTGGATCCGTGTCAGAGCCACACAAGGAAGCTGTTTGACGTACTGAGAAACTGAAACTTAAGTCCCCGAAGCAGTTGTTGTCGTACATGGTATGGTGGAAGGTCGTCCTGTTGTCCAGACCACCAGGGGTCAAAGGAAAAGCGGCAAAGCCTTTCCAAACGAGAGCCCGGCTGCCGGCCCTGGACGTAAAGCAGGCCCCAGTTCCTACCATGTCTCAGCAAACTGTGTCATTTCCTGCTTTACGTTCTGTGACACTTTGATGCCTTCTGGTACCATATCCGATGAGCGCGACCTCTAGTTGTGGCTGCTAACGCTTTCAACGTGCAAAAGCAACCTTGGCAGAATCGCTTCAGCAACGGACCCAGCTAGAGCGCCAGTTGGGAAGGACGATGGCCATGATGTTGAAGATCCTTCCCAAAGAACAATCGCAAAGAAAACTTCGACCAACAAACACACCACACCACCGAGCCCCGCACCAACCCAAAGAACCAACAATGATGGCTGTGCGGGAAGCTTTGGTGTAAGCTGTGCGACCTTCTTTGCGGCGCTCCTGCCGGCATCGCGACAATTACTGTACATAAACGAACAATCAGCAGATCCCTCGAGTGAACCTGGAAAGTGTTCAACTTTCTCCGTCGAAGATACTCCTGCTGCAAGGCCTCCATGGCATGCGAGAGCTGTAGCAGAGGCACTTCGGAAGTTCTGCCAAGGCGATGCGGGAAAACTGCCCTCGCTGAGAAATAAGTCCCGTGCACCACGGTCCATGTTGAACGAAAGCACCTGGCACACGGCAGCAAACATCTTAGAAGGGACAGACAGCAGATCACGAAACCACTGCAAAGCCGCCGTTAAACTGGCTCGTTCGACGCAGATGGAAAAGAAAGGTGGGCAAACTAGCGGAAAAGGGAAAAACACACACTTGAGAGTAACCATCGAGCAAAGCATCATCCAGCAAACAAACTACATGTCCGTGATTAATCATCACTGACGCATCCAAGTTGATGGCTCAGTTTCTCAACCGACATTTGGGCTCGACAAACCTGTTCCCGCATATCGTCCAGCTTGCATGCACAGTCAAACCAACAGTTTTGCCGGTACCTCGCACGTGACATGGCTTACCGACAAAAAAGGCAAATTGCATCCATTCGCCAAAATTGGACGCGTGAAACGACTTTGCACAGCTGCACAAAAAACGTTTTCAAATTTTGTCTGTTGTCTTACATTTCTGTGGCATCACGAAGCTCTGATTTTTGAAAGTGCTAAAAATAGGGCTTCACAAAGTGCCTGAAAACTGACACTGCGGCTTGCCTTTCACTTCATCGCACGGTTGTGTCTTAGTCTCGAGCCTGGACGTCACAGCTCACACTATATTTCCTTGCAGAGCACGTAGGTGTTCCTGTAGGTGGAATGTTTAACATCCCGCCTACTGTAACAACACTCAACAAACAGCAGACCAGACATCACCAACACCAACACAACCAACACAACCAACAGAACACAAACACAGCCAACACACCAGCATAACCAAGAACCACACCAACACACACAGCCAACAAAAGCCAACACAGCCAACATTGTAAAAGTTTGGCAAAAATTCATGACCACAATGAGCAAACAAGGCTGTGCAGAGTTCCGCAAAAAAAGACCTTCCAGGAACCTACCTGCTCTGACCTATGAATCTAACGGTCAGAAGCTCAGATGAGGCTTAGACTGCTTCTGTTCAACTGCAAACTGGCTCAAAAAACCGTCACAGAATGAACAGTGTAAATCGAAGTTTGCAGCGATTCCGGCTTCTTCGAGGCTCTCAAGTGTGCGCACAAGATGCAGTTTTGGGCGGTTTCGCGAGGAAAGTTGTTAAGGAGAAAGAAATTAGCGGCGCGGCCAGCCAAAAAAACGCGTTTTTCCGCTGTTTGCTTTGGAACCTCACTAAAACATGCCAAAACAAACCCGTAAACCTCTGAAACCTCGACTCTCGAGCGTTTTTGCGAAACAAGCAAATGCTCCAACGGTCAAGCCACAAATCACTTTTGAGGGGCAAAATGAAACAACTTTAGCTTTTGGAACGCATTAGAGTTTCCCACTGCAACACTTTTTGAAAACCTTCAGCCTCAATCAAGTTGCTTCGTGAAACGAGCATACCCCGCAGGGGCGGGTTGGAGGTTGGGTTGAACTCAAGTTGTAACCCCAGGGGCCGGATCCAAAGAGGGCGGGCTACCTGAATCTGAGGTTGTGAGGTAACTCCAACATTAACCTCAGGTGGATCTCTAACTCTCCGCGGGTCGGGGTTGGGTTTAACTCGAACCCAAACCCGGTTCGCAGGTTGGGATTGAGGGAACCTATATAATGGAAAAGAGGTCTTGGGACTTTTTTGCTTTTTGCTTTTGAGATGCAGGACGGCATCGACGCCGCCTCTGCGGCGCTTTGAGATTGGA